AAAATATGCCTTTTAAACAATTTGAAAACAAATGCCTGCAAAATTCTAAAAGTAGGTCACAGTGACCTACTTTTACTTAAATATGTTCTAAGGTCCCAAGATGCAGCAACTTACAAGATTTGATGATTCTAACCCTCTCAGTGTCTGAAATAATGGGATGAAATGTTTTAAAAAGGATAAGTCATAAAGTTCAAAAAGTAGGTCACGGTGACCTACTTTTAAGTTGACGTTGTTCAAGGACCCAAGATGCATCAACTGACAAAGTTTGATGATCATAGGCCTTAAAGTGTCCAAAATATGCCTTCAAATCAATTTGAAAACAAATGCCTGCAAAATTAAAAAAGTAGGTCACCGTGACCTACTTTTGAGTTAACATGATGTGAAGTCCTAAGATGCATCTACTTACAAGATTTGATGATCCTAGTCCTTGTAGTAAGCAAAATATAGACATTTTCATTAATTGAAAATTTACGTCAACTTTGAAGTGACCTTGAGACCACGCCCTTTGCCCCAGGGTCATGCCTTGAACAATTTTTAATCTTCAACATATCCTGATCATTGTATGTAAGTTTGGTGAAAATCTGCCTGGTGGTTCTGGAGAAGAAGATTTTTTTGCAACCAGTACTTTTGGTTTTGTTTTCCTGATTATCTCCCCTTGTTTTAGGGTCCTAACCCTTATTTTAGTATAAATGGTAGCCCTTGGGCCAAGGATACCCTGTGACAAATTTGACACTGATTGGCCAAGGGGTTCTTGAGTTATGGCCCATATTCTAAAAAGTTAACGCACACCGCACACCGCACGACGCACACCGCACAAATGGCCATAGCATTAGCTCTTTGAGCCTTTGGCTCAGAAGAGCTAAAAAGAGATACATGTAGTTATTAAAGAGTCAGTCTGTTTTTATTTGTCTTTTACCAAATGCTGAAATTAATAGTCAAAACATGAAATCAACAAATATTAAATATCTCCTCCACGGCACCTGATCCCTTCTCTGAATTTTTGTATATCCTTGTTTGCTTTGCTCCTGATTTATTTAATTTAAATGGACTTTTGAGCTTGTGTGGAATTACTGTTCGTTATCTCCATAGTTTTCATATGAAACTTGTGCCTACACCAATTTATTTTTTTTAATTTCTCCTGTAGCAGAAACTGAGAACAGTTTGTTAGCTATTTGACACGATAGAGTGAACATACTGAGAGACATCCCTCCATAAGATTTGCTCCGTAAGCCCTAGCCTTGGAGCTGTTGTGTTGTGTTTGTTTTCAAAGGCTAAAATCAGGATCAATAAACTCAATGGTCTGTATGATATGCAGAACGTCCCATAAATCGGCAGGTGTTTATTAACGGGTAATTATGATTAATAAACAAGTATCCTGTCTCTCATCAAGCCAGCGGAATATCTTTAAATGTTTATTGTGTCTTTGCATCTGAGGGTATTTATTAGGATTACACTGTAATCCTAGTAACCTTAAAATCTTGAACTTTTGAACCAAGGTTCTTAAGAGTGTTCGTATAGACTTCTTATTTCATTAGGGAGGGTGTTCTAATGGGTATTAATTTTTGTTTAGAGTCAAATGAGTTTAAAAACGAACAACTCAGGCGCGGATCCAGGAATTGAAGTTAGAGGGGGCGCCAAAAGTAGGCAAGGGGTCTGGGGGCCGCCTTGAGGCCCCCAGTGGGTCCAGGGCAAAGCCTTGGTGGAGGCCCAGGGGGCGAAGCCCCCGGAAGCTCCTGGATTTTAGAGATTTTGAAGGGTAAAAATGAGGTCTACCAAGTAGAAATATTTACATTTTCTAGACGAAACTGTGATTAACGTAAACTTTGACAATTTTAGGGGGGCGCGCGCCGGGTGCGCCCCCTCTTAAATCCGCCACTGCAACTGTAATGATAAAAAGAATTATAACATCGGAGCTTGCGTATTTTTTACTTTCTTAATTAATATGTAATTACTTTCTAACTTAATTAGGAAATCTTAAAGCAAAATTCACTATGAATTTCTATACACAACAAAATACAACAACCATGAATTCCTAAACACCTAACTTCAGCTCCACGTAAATCTTTGTCCCAATTTTTTCTAACGACGTCACTGTGAATGCCCACAATTCGAAAGAAATTTAAATATTTAACAAATAAAGCGAAAACACAATCCTTATTTAACATTGAAAAACGAGTTTCCTATTAATGTTCAACTAATTTGAAAATTTGGTCTAATATTTTGAAATAATAATGAGAAAACCTAGTAGACGTCTAATGATGTACGATGTAAATCTCATCATATCATCGCGTGATTTTATCGCGTGTGGAGTGACTGTACTAATTACTTTTCAATGATTTTGTCAAAGGATACTAATTACTCTTTTCTACACATAATTAGAAATACATATACCGTACACGGTTGAAGAAGATACAATTACTGTTCCCCACCATGCTATATTGCAGATTTATATGATGTTTTCGCACAGAAGTATTCAGTTTGTTTCAAAGTATTCATTTACAACCAGCGACAAATTGGAAACTCATAAAACCTGAAGCTGGAAGTGGGCGTCAAAACAAAACTTTACAATTTGAGCTTGGGGAGTAAGAACATAAGTTTGGTATATTGAAGTAAGAAATTGACAAATCATGCTAAAAACTCGAGAACCATTAATGGATGTTCATCAATTTATCTGAATCTCCTCTTATGTTATTTAACCATGGTGTTCACAATTGAAATTTTGAGAATTTATTTTTGTCCATTGATTTCTTGATTTTTATCTTAAAACGTTATATACATAAATTCCCGGTAGATTAAAGATAAAATGAAATATATGGAGAAATCGAACCGTATTCAAGTTCAAAGGTCCATAAAAAACGAATGCAACATCTGCCTCTTTGATACCATGCTTTGACAACATTTTCTCAATATAGGGCTGGTAATTTTTTCATATAATTTGATTGATAAAATTTATTCTGTTAGTTATCATTATATAGTTCTCAACACACTGAAGTTAATTACAAAATGATGCCATAACTCAGAGTCTTACATGTGCATCTCTGTATTTTAATGATCAACAACTTTTCATTATCAACTTTCCTATTCATTCAATTATATTTAAATATCACCGGTTTGGTACGTATTGCTCCAAAATATCCGGTAATTTGGTACAAAATATATTTTGAGTACAAGCATATTTAGTTGAGACTACTTACAAATAAGTGAGTGGTACAGGGCTTTCAACAATTTTGTTTAAAATCAGCATTTTGAAAATTTTAAAACCAATATAATAACCTTGTTTAAAAATAAAACATAACTGAGTCTTATTTTGACTGATTGATTATTAGACCATTTTTATACAAACATATCACTAAAGGGTATTCCGTTTATCTGATTAATACAGAGAACGTACCCTTTGTGAGCACTACTTATTGTTCATTAAAAACAAAGCAGACCAAACTCCGTCATGATGACATATACATAAATCATTTCTTTCAAATGCACAATATTAATATTTCACTAAGATGGATATTTCACTAAGATGGATTTTCACAATTAAATATGTTTCCAAATAAATCAACACAAGCTGTGCATGGATAATAAATGTAGTATGTTTAATAATTACAAGTCTATATCACAATAATGGCCATAAAATTTCAGCTACTAATATCAGCGAAATTTAGAATTTTCATAAAAGTGACCCCTCGTTGTTTTCTAACCTAGCTAATAATGAGGTAGTTTTCAAAGTCCTTTGTGACACATGCAGAAGTAAACTGAACTTCTCAGTCTCTTAGTTACAGACAAAAGTCACAACAGGACCTAGTCAATTTTTAATTTCATTGATTGAAGATTATTTATTTTAATTTTTAAAAATGGGAATTTTATGTCAAATAGAAGTCCATATAGAAACTTCAAACGACAATCTTTTCTTCGCCAATCACAAGCATTTTGATGTTGTAATTAAAAGATTTTGAGTGCATCAGGAATCACCCCTCAATTCCTCATCATTTTACATCATACGCATAGGAATGTCATTTCTAGGAACCTAAGGGCAAAGGTCGATGGTTCGCCATAATGGAATGGCATAATTTTTTCATCCATCAAACACATTGAGGCGACGTTCTTTTAACAGTCATATCTCGAGTTTGAACCAATAAATCTTACATATGATGCATATATTACAGCTTGTGAAATAATTTTCATTCCTTAGTTTTGAATAATTTTATGAAATTTATAGACAAATAAATTAGGAACTTTACTATCAAAATGGATACATATACTATGTTTACATGAAATATACAGAGATAACGAACAGAATTCAAGCTAAACAGTACAAAATAAGAGCAGAGCAAACATGGACCTTTGAAACATCAGAGGTGGGATCAGGTGCCATGGAGGAGTGAGCATTTCATTATTTAAATGATCTGTTTAGTGTTCTGAGTTTAATTATAATACAGAATTATATATGATTATCATTTTTCATCATTATTCGTTGATAGTGTCATTATTAAAATCAAACACCATAAACAAACTATATTCACAAAGCCCAAAATGTCATGGGATATCAAAGGTTTGTTAAGAATTTACTAAACGATAATATATGTTTTAAACTTGGTTTAACCACGTAACCTTCGTGTCGTTGTTAATGAAATTGAGATATTAAAAAAGAAAGCCATGCTCCAAAAGCCAGCAGGAAATCAGTTGAAAGTATGAGAAAAAAAATTCGTGGGAGAGACAAATTAATCAAAAAAAAAATTCGTGTAAGCAAAACACTTTAGAAACCATAACGGTGGCTTAGATTGAGAATTGAGACTTTAGTGCTAATTTTCAGCGCCCTGTGGCTTAATCTTTCAAGTTTTTCTAATGAAACCTTCTAAAACTATCGCTGACGCTTGACATCTGTAATGCCTCTTTGGCTGTGAACTGTTCATACAATACTAATTACACCAGATACTTAGAGGAAAATTTGGTCTTGAAATAAATAAGACAGTTGTTCGTTTAATTAAAAAAAAAATACCTACCATCAATGGTGAGTAACAAATTCCAAACACAATCAAAATAGCCATCAGAAAAACCATTAAATAGACATCATTTCGCTTTCGCCGTCTTGAACTGACACTGTTAAAGCTTGATTTCCTGTCTTGCAATTCTTTTCTACGAATTTCTCTGGCGAGAGTCACAACTAAAATAATATTAAAGACAGCAGTCAAAGAAATCAAGAGAATACCCGTCGAAGCGTACAGATAGGAGTATGTGGTTTGTAGTGTCGATTGCCCAAAGAAATCAAAGAAACACCACGAACCAGGAAAATGATGGACATTTTTGCCAAATCCTAGAATGGGCATCACAGCAATTGCTACCGACAATAGACACAGTAAGACTGTAACAATGTTTACTTTTTCTTTTGTTACTTCTCGTTTGTAGAAATAAGGACAACACACGGCCAGAAATCTCTCGACAGACATGAAAGAAATAAAGAAAATTGTGCTCAGACCTGCAAAGATAAGTATAAAGGAGAAATAATCACAAGTCGGTTGCCCTCCAATCCATTTGAAATCATTCAGATAGTTAATAAGAACAAGAGGAGTTGAGGCTAAAATCCCAAAAAGATCCGTGATAGCCAGAACGCCGACAAGTCGGTAGAAATTTTTCCATTTGTGGCGTTTTGATGTCTTCACTAACACAAATATAGCAAGTAAGTTTCCAAAAACTCCACAAACAAACATAGAAATCACAGTAGCACTAGAAGGAGTTGATAAAAACATATCTGTTGCGTTTGAGGTATTAGCGCCGATGCTTTTATTATAACAAGTCTGTAAATATTCCATACCACAATGTAAAAATAGCCGTATTTTTCCCGTACTCAGTTTCCAATAAATTCCTAGTAATACAAGGAACATACAAACCACTTAATAACCGACTTTGTCGTCATAGAAAGTCATTTCTGTCAAATCCATGAGTACAATAGAAGGTACCACAAAGAATTGCGTAACTTGATATTTACGACTGAAAGTTGTGTGCATTCAATATCATATATCCATCCATTCTAAAAGTCACAGTAGCTGAGCAGAAATGTTATGGGACTTCAGTCTCATCTAGCAGTGTTGATCTCTCACTGCTAGCAGGCAGTGGAAAACATATCAGAGCCGATAATTTTTTTCTGATAAAGCTTGGTGACTTTAATGTCACAACCATAATTTTACGACATCTAATCAATTTTAAAAGCCAATTTTACTCCTGGTGTTTGAAAACCGAAATATCAGATTTTCCCATAATTTCACATAGAAATTCATGTAATCCAGGAAATGGAGATTGGTTTCATTTGTTAATGAAAATGCATTCTACTCAATACCCGTATTGTTTTTGTTCAATATTTCAATCAACGGTCGCTAGGTGTTGAATTACAGGTCAGGTCGGTATTGGTGTCGTAAATTAGAGGCAAAAGCAGCCTTTCCTAGACACTGTCAGATAACCATTTTGGTGACCGATACAAAACCACAGGTAAATCAAGATGTTTGTTTTCTTGATATAACTGCTGAAATCTCTCCCTTTCTCTTTTTTTCTTTTTGATTTAATTAATTCTGAAAAAAGTCGATTGTTGTAAGACTGATGTATTTAAGAACAATATCCTGTTTATACATATCAGAAAGAAACATATTTATCTATCTCTTACTTTTTGTATTGTTTACTTGATTTAGAAAGGACAACCTATACATCAATATAAGATTGCGTTTTTTTTTATTATTATCATTATACCTTCCTTCATTGCCAATATCTTGTATATGACTCGTTCGAAAACTCCAATCCAACCTTTTTTTTTTAATGAATTCCCCTCGGCTATACAGTCTAACGACTTATATAAGCTTTTGTACAAGACAGAAATATTTCTGTGGGAAATTGCATTAAAAGGTTTAATAAGCATTCTCTTTAAGGAAAATGATCGGAAAAGCTATATATATGTAATCCTTAACGATTTTACACACTTGTAGAGTAGGAAATACCAACACGTCATGAACGATCGGAAAATTATGTACAATTATATTATATGTACAATTATGTTTTTTATGAACCTAAAAACGTACATGTATTTAAGGACAGATATCATGATACAAACAAACTTTTGTGACAAACATTGAAAATAACAACCTGAGTCATGTTTCAATGAGTAAAATGAACATGTTTAACCGCATAGTTTTTAATTTTTTCCATTTTTGTATAGCTTAATAACGATGGCTGCAGAACGGTAGAATTTTGAACATTATAGAAGGTTTACAATTTCTTAATATTTTGGATATTTATTGGTTGTATCATGTGCAACAAAATAAGCCCATAAATATATACTAATCCAGGCATTTTTATTTGTTTGCATCAAAAACTTGATTTTACGCTTTCGCCTGCATTTGAATAGTCAGTAAACCTTGGGAGATTCACACCTATTCTCTCTAGGGAGCTTGTATAGGCAAAACCGTGGTTGCGACGATGATGCATATATGGTTATGTTCCAATTTGATTCGATACTGAGGACCATGCTCAGATTGCTATCAATTTTGAAACAGAGAAAAGTTAATGACAGACAAGCTTATGTTACATGAACTGTAACAAACTTGACTGAAGTCAGTATTTGCCAAAGTTTATGATCGTTGTAATGGCCTAGATAGCAAATATGATTTTGGCTGAAGTATTTTATACCATTTAAGATGCCTGAACTGACTACGGAATATTCCTTCAACTTGATCAACCTTCAACCAAATCATCACATCGGAAGTGCTCGTTCAACAGGGGATATTTACACCTGATCGCACCGCATAAATTTCCAGAGACCTGTATATTATGCACTATTTAATGTCTTATCACTGTTCGTTATCTTAACTTTTTAATTTAAAACTAAGTAACAAAATATAAGTTAGTGTTTGACAAAATTTTTGATAAAACGCCGAACATTTTAATGACTGAAGTTCATTAAAATGTATAGGATAAAAATACTATATTGACCTGCATAGCAACCATGTTGTTCTTTGAGACATGTAATGATTTCCCAGAATTCTCAAAGGAATTAATTGCTATCAACCCAACCCATTCCAAAAAAGTATACGAAAACTCACCTATTATATGAAGTAAATTTATTTTGATATAAAGTTCCCCTTAGCTGAATTGAACGTCGCGAGTTTTGAAATCTTTAATTTTGTCTATCACAAAGTGGATTTTGTCTTTTTCATGAGAAGGAGTCAAAAATAGTTAATCACAAACTTTGCTATTTTAAAGTTATTTTCCAGAAATCAGAAAATTAAATAGTTTTAAGTAGATTTATGTTCGAATAGATAATTTGAACAATTCACAATGAATATGGAAATAAAGTATAATATTGACAAAAATGTTTTAAAATACATGTATTTGCAATGAAATTATTTATTCATTCTGTAATGTAAAGATGTTGCTTTTAATCTATTTCTAAAAAGAAATAGAGTATGAACCACAAGGACAGAACTTTAAATCAAGATGAAATACAATGACAATAGTGTTGTATAAAGGGTTGTGTGTATTGATTGATTCCAAGGTTTGCGTACTTTCAGGCATCATCAAATTTGACTCAGATCTTTTATTCATAAAAGAATATGGTTACTTTAATTGAAGGTAAACGTAGATGCTTTGAAATCTCTAATTGAAAAGGAGAGAAAAATACAAAAAAAAAAAAAAAATAAATAAAATCTGAATCTCAGGCACGGATTTTGCGTTATATTATTCTGACGTACATGTAAATATGTATCTGTACACGACAACATAAAAATAGTTACTACAAAAAAAAACAATCGTGAAATATGAAAATAAAACTCTCCGACCTATAATTAAAAACAACACTTTAAAGGTAGAAAATATCACCGTATTTCCATTCATTGATATATATATATATATATATATATATATATATATATATATATATATATATATATATATATATATATATATATATATATATATATATATATATATATATATATATATGATATGATGCTTTGACAAAACATGATGTACAAATCAGTTCTTTCCAGGGCACTTTTCTCGTACTTTTTAAAAAAAATTATGTAAAAAAATAATTAATATGTTATCAGAACATCAAAATCAATTAAATATCAAAGTCTTAAACGAAATTATAAACAGATCCTAAAAGACATCTCTTTTTTTTCAAAAATTGAAAAACCAAAAACATTGGAGATTTTCAATTTTACACATCTTACTTTAAAATTGTTTTTCTTTGTTTCTACATGTATTATTGCAGATGCAGTAGATATTTAAATCCCTAATAGCAAAAGTGATTTACTTCAATGTTTTAACTGAATAGCATTTTCCAAGTTTTTGCCGAGTTTAATTCAAAATAAAGGAATATTTTTTTCTCTTTTCTTCACAAACAGTATTATACCCGATCATGACAAGAAGCACATGGCGGATGTCACCGGTCACCAGGGGACACTCACTACTGCAAAGCACCTAATCCAACCTCTGATGTTTTTGAGATTCGTGTTTGCTCCGCACCTATATTTTGTATTTTTTATGGACTCTTGAACTTGAATATTGTTCGTTATCTCCATTATTAGAGAGTTATTAGAACAGCGGATCCATATTTTAGAACAGGCCAAACTCATACTTTGTCGATTGTTTTGTAAAATGATAATTGTCCCCTCAATTACAGATATAATTGCATATCTTAAAAGGAGATCTCTTTAAGAAAGATTTTTTGTGAAAAAAGAAATTTGTCGAAATTTGTAGAAATTTCATCATAGATATGTCTCTTTAGCTTAGTGAGATCAAGAAATATGTGTAAAAAATACCTATCTAACTTTAAGATATATAAATCTTAGTTAAAGAGATATTCATCTAAGTTAAAATGTCGTTCGAGGTATAAGACAACACAAAAAGGGATATACCCCTTACTTAAAATAGGAAGATCCTCGAACAACAACATCCATATATAGTAGTTCTTTATTGAATGTACGTTATAGATAATTACTAATTATCCAAGTGAAATATATGGAGATGACGAACAGTAATCAAAATCAAATGTCCATAAAACAATACAAAATAGAAGGCAAACACGGACCTCCAAAACATCAGGTGGAACCAGGTGTTATTGATGAGTGCGCATCCCCTACCGACTGGTCAGACCCCTTTGTGCTCCTTGTATAATCGGGAAATGATGGGAAAATCCGTCGTCAGTTCAGTGTATAAATAATGGATTAACAATTAGTATGAAAACGTCAGTCGGCATTTGACTCAATGATAAATTGTATTTGCTGACAAGGTCATTGTATCAACCAAAGAACTTACGAAATGATGACTTTAAACGAGACTGCTGATATTCTTGTTTCATCAATTTGTTTTTCAGTAATTAACCTCGTTTTAGAAATTGTATAAACATTGTTATATAAACTCTGTAGTAGGTGATGAAGGTATATTGCTGCAAAAATGAGGCGAGTTGACGATTGTAAAGTTAAAGGCATCAAGTATATCACAGAGCTTGGTTGCTAGATTACCATTAACGTCTTTTTCAAGTGCAATATCCGAATATGAAACAGATGTGTCAGACTCTGTGGTATCCTTTATCTCAAACTCATCAGGATATATCGAATCGACATAAGAGTGGAAATTACCATTATTAATTTAAATCGATATATCATAATGTCGAGTTGAAGTCCACAGCTAGTTTTTTTCTTTTCACTACATGTATAAGATTTTGGACAAATTCTACTTCATCTGAATAAGAAATAGGTCTGCTTATAATTGGGCGCAATTGGTACCTATGGGAATTCCAATGGATTGTTGAAAAATTGTTGAAAGATCTAGCCTCCAAAAACTACATAGATATTGTCATTCAGAATCTCAAGCATCTTTTTGATGTCAACTTCAGAGTACTTGTGTGTTCAATCAGAATTTTTTAACCAAATGATTTTGTAAATGAGCAATGACAGGGTATGTAAATTAACAAGTTCCATTTTTATTAAAAAGGCAGTTGTCAATGATATCAAAAAGCCTTGACTTTAATTTATCATGGGGAATGGATGTGTATAAAGTTGAAATGCCATTGTAAACGTTTTAAGTAACACTGCAATTTAGCAG